TAATTTGAGATTAGGTATATAAAAATTTAAAAAAATTAATTAGATTTTACAAAAATCAAACATTCAAAAAACAATTGCTTTATTTCCTTAAATGAATGATTAATTTCATAAATTGAATTAAATAATAATTTAAATTACTTACATTAAGAATTATACATAATAAAATAAAATATATAATTTGTTACAAACAAGCATGACCTTAGTAAAATTGAAACAACATTACTTTAAAACTCCAGTTTATTAAAACAGTTTAAATAAAATATCAATTAATACAATTAATACATTAATATTATAAAACATATAAATAAATAAGATATTAGTTACTTATTAAAATTTTAAGTCTTTCCCATACTTAAATAACACCGCATGTTACGACAAAAACATTTTTTTTTATTTAATAAATAATAAAAAATTTAAAGTTAAATATTAAAAAATGATGTTTTTAGGATTCGAAATTTATAAAATTGATTTGTGTTCTTATAAAACACATCCTCATTTTGATGATTAAAAAAAATAATAATAAAATATTTAAAGTAAATAAAAATATTTGAAGAATAACAAAAAATTGAACTTTATAAAAATGTGCTTTGTTTTTAACTTAACAAAGTGACGAATTCCCCGTTTAATTATAAAAAAATAGAATATTTAAAGTTTACAAAATTAATTAAAGAATTATTTGATTAAAATATAATCAGATTTTTTGTTAAAATCATTTTCATTTATATTTAAATAATTTAAAATTAAAATAATTTATCATAAACGTTATATTTTGAAAAAATTTTTTTACATTGAAAGATGGTGTAATACTACTTATTAATATTGACGTGAGTAAACTATCGATATTATCACGTTGGTATAAATTGTAGTTCTTATATAAAGGTAATTATTCATCTTTACTGTTTGCTCACACATCCATTTATTTCTTATGTTCTTTGTCTTTTCTAAATATAATAATTTTGCATGGGTTAAAATTTATTTAATATTTAAATATAAAATTTTTCTATTTAGAACAATTAATTTTCTTTGACTTTTGATTCCTTATCAGGGAGTATATCAAATAATACAATTATACCTGTTTAATAATAAAAAAGAATTTATATTGTATTAGAAAAATAGTTGTAGTTATATAAAAACAATATTCTTTTAATATGCAAATTTATTTTAACAACTTAAAAGTTTTCTAAAGATATTGAATACCAATAAACTTTTGTTTAACATTTAATATAACATTTAATATAAAATATTTAAAATCAAATCAAAATTTTTTAATATTAATAGAGAATCGAATATTAAAAACAAAATGAAGTAGTTTTATGTTTAGACTAAACCACTTTATTTTGCTATCTAATTAAATCGATAAATATTTATAATTTAACTAAAAAGTTTTTTAAAATAAACCAATTATGAATCGAATTAAAAAAATTGTATCGTGTTTTTCATTTAAACCCTTTCAGAAAGTATGTTTACTAAAATAAAATATAAATATTTAAAAACTAATTGATAATCGAACTAATAAAATAGATTTAAGTTATATTTAAACTATAAACCGATTTACAGTATTATAATTATTTAAAACGATATATTTGAATTTAAAATTAGAAATGAACTAATTGAGAATCGAACTAAAAAATTAGGTAAGATTTTTTGTTTATACCTAGCCTAATCTTTATGTAATTTTAATAAAAAAAACATTTATATTTAAAATTAAAAAAATATTTATTGATAATCGAATTAAAAAAACTCAATCGCTGTTTTTTTTTAAATTTCAATTCAATCTTTTAAAAAACACAATAAAATATTTATCTGAACGTCTTATCCATCTTCACTTATCAAAGGCATGTCTTACTTCAGCTTTCTTTTTACTCGTTTACAACTGGATTAGTTATTCCCCAGACATTTTTTAGTTCTTTAAATATTTTTTTCTTCATAAAAACTGTCATTTAAAAAAATCTATCCAATCATTTTATTGATTTTGAATCTGATCTAAAGATTTCTTGTAAATTATATTATAAAGATTTGACAATTAAGAGTCAAATATTGAATTTAATCGTTTAAATGCTAAAATATTTAACTAAGTTAAATTTTTTTTAACATTAAAAAAATAAACCAATTGAGAATTGAACTAAAAAAGTTAGGTTTTGTTTTTTTATTAAAGCCACCGCCCAACTTTTTGTAAATTATAATACAATAAAATATTTATATTAAAAAAAACTTTATTGAGAAAAGAACAATATATAATTAAAGTAAACTTATTTCCTAAACTTGAAGTTCATCTTCGATTAATTTTGTTAAGAAATAAAATGGTTTAATTTAACATTTTTAAAAGAACTATTTAGTTTTAAATAAATATTTACTTACCAAATAATTATTATAAATTGTTTGTAAAGAGATGAATGGAAAAGATAGATGAAAAAAATTAAAGATCTCATCATAGCATACAAATGTTACTGATAAATTTAATAATAAACTATTTTTAGGTAAATATAATTACCTTTTTCACTTAATGCAGCCTTTAGTCACGTATTAAACTAAATAACACTTGATGAATATTTTATTTAAAAATTTTAAAGTTGTAACGTTATTTACTGTTTTATTCATGAATTTTTTTATTAAGAAATACAGAAATTTTATGTTTGAATTTTTCAAAAAAAAATACTTAGAACATTTTAATAGAAAATTTAATTAAAAAAATTTTAGAAAATGTTTTTTTATAATACCGAAAT